CTTGGTGACTCCTATATGATTTTCCCTTCTCCTCTCTGTTTTAAAAGTTACACTGTGTATATTCAATCCGAATTCTGGGTCCCAGGTTAGGAAACACGCTGAATAATTTACACAGACTAGATAAAGAGAAAAAAATTCCTAACACACACACAGACACATACATCTATATGTATGTATGTATATATATTTCTTGAGAGATTTTGCCCAGAACAGACACACCATAAATACTTTGCTACCTGAAGTCTGAAGTCTGCTTATTTTACTTCATATACTAAGAACTACAATAGGCACTAGAAAAATCAAACACTTTTTAAAGACAAATAGTCGCAGCTGGGGATAAGGAATATAAATAGGATGACATCAAATGAAAAAAGCTGATGATCCAACAAGGCTTCTATAGATCATGTTGTCTCTAATGTCAAGAGAATTGCAGATTAGTCCTGCTGTTCTTCATGAGTAAGCCTATTTATCAACTTTCTGGAAAAATCTAATTTAAGGTGGCACATCTTCCTTAGTTCTGCCACACTTCAAAGCTTAAAGTGCAGAAGTTTGTCAGCCATTCTCTCTGGCTGTAATTGGCATGTGAGATTCTCATTCAGGCCTTTCTCCACCCGCTAGGCCCTAGCCAGTCCTGGCTGCCTGTGATAATGTAATTTTAGTTTGCTTGATTAGTAAAGTAAAAAACCTAGGAAGTCTTAGCATTTAACACCTTTATCCAATTCAGACTTAATGTTGAGAGAGAAAGCAATTTAAATTGCAAATATTTGCTATAAGAAGCTGGATTTCTGTAATGTTCAACTTAGTCACAGCATAGATCAAGAGGATGACAGGCCCAAGGAAAAAAAAAACAACATTTGGACAAGGTGGATGCTGGCAGAGGTTATGCTGTATTTTCTGGGTAACCCACAGAAAGAGAAACACTTTTTCCAAAGGATATCATGGGAAATGTCTGGAAAAAATATGCACTAACATAAAAATTTGTACTCTTGCCACTATGTATTACATTTTTAACATGATGCTTTATATCTGAGTCAGGAAACAGACTTGTGTACATTTATATTTACTCTTTAAAAGCTAAGTAGAGACCAGGCACCTAAAACAAGTTGTTTGATACTACGCTTTTTTTTTCACATTTCACATTTTTTCACATTTCACTTGATTTGATGACAGAATACCTTAACATATAATGTCACGTTAGTTTTATATATGTAAATACTTTCAAGTCAAAACATGCAGTGTGAGCATATTTTATCAGCTATTTCCACTGAGATTTTTACATGTACGATCTAAAAAACTGTTTCATGTTGATAAAAATTTAAAGTAACTTTACTGTGTTAGGATTATCTGAATTTGTGAGAATACGTTTGTTCTTACAGTCAGCAGGAATTGCATCAATTAAGAAATTCTTAATTTTTCTGATACTGTGGAAGGTTGTTTTAGAATGTTAGCGAAGGAGAGCAAGATAAAACAGATGTGAAACAATGTCTAATTGTTACTTAAATGTAATAAATTCAGTTGAAAAATGAAGTCTTGAGTAGCATAATACAGATAGGAAGTTTTCTTAGGCATTGCAGAATGCTGATGTTCTTACTGAGAGCTTTAGGATAAATCCGAATAATTCCTATGTGCGACATTTTGAAAAGCCCAGAGCTGTGAATATCACACCTGATTGCTTTTAAGTCAAAAGCTTTCATGTGCAGGAAATAATGCTTCAATTAAAAAGGGAGAGAAAGGGGAAGTTATTTGACTTTGCTCTATTGCATTCAAAATCATGTACAGAAAATGAAAATGAGAACAAATTCAATAGGCTGCAGATTCAGAACAGACTAAAATATTTGTATCAGCTGTTTGTAGGATTGTTAGGTCACAAGTGTAATGACATTACTGCGTCAAGTTTTTGAACACGATGGTTTCGTTCTCTTGATTATTGAAGTTTTTCTGTCAGTCATCACCAAATACTTTTATTTCTTCTCACTTCAACTTTGTCAGCTCCTAGTGCCTAAAATATCTAAATTCTCTCTCTCATTTGTAGCAGTACAATCGTGAAGACAGTGTGTAATGTTACAAATACTGACAGCAGGTAGAAAGATTTTCTACCCCTTACTGTTCTGACATTGCTTTGTTCTCTTCCATATGGAGTGTATTTGATTTACAATTAAAAGTATATATGTGCACTTGTAAGATTAGTGAGCATTTTAATTTTTAATACCACATACAGTATCTGACATTTCACAGGGGAATCAGAGGAAATCCTTTCTCCTTGCATAAAACCAATAAGGATGCATTTACCCTAAAATTGCCCTTGAAATAGATACTTTTTCTAGTAATGTTTGGAATAATTTCTCCCCAATGACATCTTCTTTCCTGTAAGATGTTGAAATATAGATCTGGCTTTGGCTTATGGTTGGGTTTCTTGACAGAGCCACTAAGAAAAGGAATTTGCCATGTGAAAATTCCCCATGTATGGATTTGCTAGCTGTATAAAAAGCATTGTTCTTGTATGGATGACCTCCTTGTGCAGAATGATAGTTTTATCCTTCTCTACATCATTATGTTTGCTGTACAAAAATCCTGCTGTGCTACATCATAATAACATGTAATCTTCTTGCTCAGTTTAGCTGAGATTTAAGGAGCCGCTGCTCATGGAAGCAGTTTTCTAAAGTCTGATCTATAATTTACCCGAATCAACCAGGCAAAAGAGCAAGAGGCTTTATAAGAGGGATACAGCCCTTAAAACTCTTAAATGAAGATTAGTTTAAAGTTTTACAATCCGATACAGAACCATCTGGCAAATCTCATGTCAGGCTTTGTTAAACCTCTGAGCTCTCCTAGTAGCTGCACCACTCCTCCCCCTCAGCCCCACAGCTGGCCCTGGTCTCCCATCCCCCAACTCCCACCAGACACCCGCTGTGTCTGAGGGCACCTTTCAGCAAAAGGAGGTCAGAAGTGCAGGAGGAGCCGCTTCTTGTAGAGTGGTAATGTAACAGCTCTAAATGATGGAGGCTGCGCAGCACCTCTGGAAATCCTGCCCTTATAATTGCTGCCTGACTGTATATGCACTAAGTGATTTATTGCATCTTTGAAGAGGTAATTGCAAGATAAAGCTGCCTGTTGGCAGAACCATTACAGACTTGCTGGGTTAAATAGTTGCAGTTGAGGCCAAGGAATCACTGGAGGACATGCTGCAACATCACAAGGCATTCTGGTACTTCCAGCAAGGGAGTTGTGGTTGCTGCAGCCAAAGCAGTATTGTGTAAATGGTGATGCCAGGTGGCTGTTTGGCATGGATAGCCAGTTGTTCTCATCGTTCCTAAATCACATTTCAGGGGTCTAGACTGTGGGTTCCCTACTGACAACTCCACAAAGGGTTTAATCTGTGAGCTCTAAATTGTCTTTTTGTTCTTTGGCAAAAGGCAGACCTGATGTGTTTCTCAAATAGAAAACAAAAGCGTTCCCATATGAATCTCTTCTAACATCTTGATTTCAGCTATCCTAATGGCTTTCCCATAGGAAAACTTACTTTATACAGGTTTATTTTCATATTTATCTAAAGCTTGGAGGTATGGAAAAAAATCTTTCTTTTTTTTTTTTTTTTTTTTTTTTCCTTTTCTTTTTCCCCAGCAGTCTGTTACATAAAATTAACCTTTTTTCACTCAAAGTGATCACCTTTCACCTGAGGGATTGCAGAAGCAGACTGCAGGAATCCAATTACCTGAAATCAACTTACAGGCAAGAAGGAGGCATTGTTCATGGAGATAATCTCTTTCTCAGGCTATAGAGATTCTCTGGCTCAGTGTGATGATAAAGATGTTCTCTCTGGACAGTGAAATTAGTACACATGATTTTGTAATTATAGCATGGGATACAAGAACAGTAAATGCTGCAGGTCTAAAAAGTGTAATTTTTGGCTGTTTAAAAATAAGTGCAAAAGACAAAAGCAGACCCAAACAAACAGATGCAATCCTGACCAGACTTCGTACTAATATACTGCTTACAGAATGTCTTTTGCTGTTTGTTTCCTAAATCTCACTTTAAGCAATACAGTATTTTGGCTTGAAAGACAATTCAATAAAGTCCTTTTTCTTTTTTTTCTCCTTCTTGTATAGTGTGGAGTGGAACACTTTCGAGTCAGACAATCTTAATGCTGCCATAGCAATTTTGTAAGGCACCAGAGAAAAATGCATCATATTATCTTTGGATTTCAGTCTGCTTTTGCTTCTCACAGCAATCAATAACCATTAGTATTATTGGTGGTAATATCCTTCTAGATAATTTTAGGGCTTTTCCAGAAATCAAAATACATAAAACAAAATTGTCACATCGTAACTTTTTCTCTTCTTCTTAACTTTAATAAATCTCGATTTCCTTTGAGGAAAAGCAAAAACCCACCAATAGGGAGGTGGGATGAAGAGGCGATGACTCCTAGCTGAACAAATCCAGTATTTAGTACTGGAACAGAGAGCTTAAGGGCCAGAACAAATTGCCTTTGTGGTCTGGAAAAGTGATAGTCATTGAAAAATTGGTCATACCCATGGGTCAAGTTGCTGTATATTTTTATGATTACTTTAATAGCCCAGCTCATGAAGCTCAGGCCAACCAGTTGAACATAATTTCACAAAAAGGGAGGAACTTTCCCACGGTTTCAGAGTATGAGTTCTGCATTAAAGGCTGCTAGAGCTCGGGAGCCCGGCCAGAGGAAGCCAAGAGCCAGCACTGTGGCTCAGCAGAAGATGAGCGTGGGCAGCCACCAGCCTCCAACAGCTCCCAGCACTGATGCCAGTGCAAGTGGGCAGCTTGCTCTGTTGGCTGTAATGCACTGTGGAGAGAGAGGCAAAAGGGAGAGCTTGACAGGTAGCTGTCAGACAGGGTCACAGGGAATGGGTATTCCTCTTCCTCAGTCAGCCATATCTCCTCTTCCTGACCTGCCTCTCCAAGTCACAGGGAGCAGTCTTAGGGCAGAGAGCTGAGCCTGCTCAGGAAATAGGCTGAGCAGATGAGCAGTATTTTGTTATGGATCAGCCTAACCTGAACAGCTACCTGGAGCTGAGTAGTGTTGGGACAGGATGCTCTCAGAAGGGAGATCTCTGCATATGCAATTGTGGTAAGATTAGTTTGAATAGTCTCAATTGCACAAGAGATTTCCCGCTTATATTTCAGAATGGAGATAGCAGTGTGGCAACTTAAAGATAAAAATGAAACCTGACTTAAAAATGATGACTTTCATAACTGTTAGAATCCATTTTACAATTTATTTTCTCTTGTAGATTTTGGAAGTGTGGATATTACCTGCCAAACTGTCATAAGTAATTATATGTTTATTAACTCATTGCACCTAATAAACAACAGGAAATTTTCATGATGAATTTCATTTTTGCCTAAAAAAAATCGATGACTACTTTGATTAAATACTAAAGTTTTGTTTTGCTGTTACACTAGACAGAAAATTCCAAATATCAGCAAAATGCTTTACTCCCAGTAATTTCAGTATTTCAAACCTTTGTGCTGGACTTTATTGATTGCTGACATAGTAGTTCAGGGTACTTTCTAGGGGGTCGGGCAGAAGATGATGGATGTCACTTCTTAAATGAGAAAATACCTGAAAGCTGGACTTTCTGTGGGTAGGCAGGATTGCCTGGGCTTGGGGAATCGCTGCTAGAAATAGTGCATTTTCCACTGGGATCTCCAAGATAAAGGAAACTTTTAAAGTCAGTAAAAGCTCAGTGTTTTTCTGCTTTGACTGCTGCCTGCACCAGAGCAGCTGTATAAGACAGAACAGTGGGAACTGAATCAGTTGTCCAGAAATGCCCTGTGCTTGTGGGGTCGTTGGCTGTACCAGAACTGACAGGCATTTCATCAGAAATGGAGGGAACCTCATTTATTCTAGAAGTCTCACCTGCCTGCTGGAAAGAATCTAATCTGTGCATGTACAAGAGCTAAGGGAGCTCTAATGGCACTGCTGAAACCATAATATAATATCCAGGTTGAAATCATTCCATCTTTATCTCATTATGACTACAATTTTCTTCTATGTGCGAAACTTAAATGTCAAATTGAGGAAGTAGAGAGAACGTAAACAAAAGACTGTGGGCATATTCCTGTTGTTTCTTTAGAGAAATTGTACAAACTGCAGAAACTTGTAGGATGATGCTCCAAGCAAAATGGGGGGATAAAGTCTTCCAAAAGCTCCCTGCCTTTAGTAAAGAGCTTTTTATCTATGTTGGAAGAAAGATGCTCACAGGAGTATTGTCTGTCATTACCACGTTCCTCTTCTCTTAAAAATAAAAAATAAAAAAAATCAAAAAGGAATAGAGAACTTGTGGATAAGTGTATCTCAGCATGCTGTAAGTAGGCAGCGTATAGACTAGAAGTACAATTGCTGGTTCAGAACAGTTATTTGCACAATCTTAGTTTTGTAACATGCTGAGTTTGAAGTTGCAGCAGATGTGCTGCTTGTAAGCAGTCCAAGTGCTGGTATTTGAGAGCTACCTTGCGTGCAGTCACAGCTCACAGAGATGTTGTGTGTCTTTTTTATTCTGCAATTAAAAAAAAAAAAAAGTCAGTGACTTCTAGGTTCTTCAGTACTTTTTTTAAGCTTTCTTCCATGTGTTACAGCATGCAGAATAACTAGTAGTTGCCCCAAGATCTGCTCTGTGTGTCACTCTCTTAGTGTTATGTCACCGATGCTCCCCTTTGGAGGGGGAAAGGTACTCATGGTTTCTGGGTAGTGGGAGCAGTAGCTAGCAAATGAGTAACCCAGGATGCTAGTCAATGGGAAGCTCAGCATTAAGATGTGACTCAGTCATCATACCTAAAAGGCAGAGTGTTGTTTTAAAATGATACTCCAAAGTTTTGAGTGCTATCTCACCCAAATGTACTTTTGTATCCTTTATGCTTTATGATCTCATACACATTGTTTTTGCTTTTTGCTTTTCCTCTGCTCTGTAACACTAATTGGATCAATGTTGTATAAAAAAAAAAGATGTGAAATTCAAAGGAAAACTACTTGTAAAGAAATACTCAGATTTTTAATGTCACTTCCTGACAGGTTATCCCATATGGAGTTATTACGGTATCTTAGTACCACAACTGATATGTTTAATAATTTTCAGTATGTGTTTGGGTCCTTTTGATGCTTGATTACTACATTTAAAGAAAGATTACAAGGTAGAATACAGTTGCTTTTGAACATATGGAAAACTCAGCCTTCCCTTTCCAGATGCATTCATTTTAACTCTTTTTAGCGTTCACTGTATCTATGGTTATTTCTTTTTTCTTTTGAAATGCATTTATTGTTCTATTTCAAGAATGAATCATATTCAGTTGCCGCCCCAAAATATAGCAACAAAAATGGTACAAATGATTGTCTGTAATCTATTATTACAGGCAATCTAACCTGCCAAAACAAAATTTCCATTTAATAAGGTGTTTTTATGAAATGAGCCTTGTGAATGTTCCGTGCTAACTGAAGCTGTTCACAAGTTCTGTATTTCAAAAAATTGTTTTATTTCAAGAGATCATATTTTACTGCATATGACAGAAAATCCAATGGCATATGACTTCCACTTTGACAGTCTTTGCAGTCTCCACTGGCATTTAGATCTCTCTAATATGATATCCAGATAAGATGATATTTATATTGCATATTGTTCAAAGGCCTTGTCCAAAGAGTAACATGATAGAGGTACTGTATTTCAGAAAGAGGAAGATTCTGGCACCTAAATGCAGCATATATCAACAGAAGATCTGTTTTGTGAAAACCATTGTTTTCATTTTACAACCTAAAGGAATTAGGCAGAAAAAAATGAAGGAGACTTGTTTGTATCTCTGCAGCACAGCTTCTTCCTTTGGAAATTCATATGGAGAAAATTAAAAGGAGCTGGCATCCTATTCAGTACTTAGTCCCAGTGCTTACTACTCTCATGTATTTATTTCTGAAGCAGAACAATTACAGAAAATAACAATTATTTGCAGCATGTTTCAATAATATTAAAAAATGGAAGCGAAAGTGTGAAGGGTCAGCAAATCTAATTCTCTGAAGACTATTTTAATCTGTTTGATTACACAGACACTTGCTTTGAGGCAGTCAATCTTGAAAAATTCCAGGGTAGTGAAAAGCTGGAGAACACAAGTGATTCTCTTGTAAATTCTGCTGCTGGACCTCACTGTGATGGCAAATAATTTCAGGCTTTTGTTTGAGGTTTTTCACTTGCACACACAGATGGAGGTGTGCACCCCCACACCTGGAAGGTTAAAGCCACTCTATGAAAGCTAGATTACTTGGCAGCAAAAATATCCAACCTGCAGTCTACTCTAAATGCATGCAGTCATCATATATTTTGATTATTTTGTATGAATTTTGTGCATGAGTATTGTTTTATTCCCTCAAGGGAAATTAATGCTGAATACTGATAGAGTGGTTGCACGTATAACCTGAAGCATACTTTTCTCTCCTTAAAGCACACAAAAGAAATGGGAAGGCCACAAACTCCTTTAAAAGAATCAACGCTGGAGCCATGGACTCAGCCACAGGTAGGGTGGAATGATTTTTCTCATAATGCTTTTTTTCTAATGGTGGTTTTTCTCAGTCTTAATAAAATCAATCTAAAGCTCTAAAGAAACATTGCTTTTAGGGTAGCTCTGTGGTTCTTACCATCATATGTCAAAATGATTTGTTTTGTTGTTTGGCTATCTGGATGATTGCTAGTGTTTTTTAGTTAAACTCTCAGGATCTGATTCAGCTTTTTTCTAGTGTAGAAATGCCACAATTATCTTTCCTTCAGCTTGTGTTCCTGACATGCTTGAAAGACTGCAAAACCTTACGAAGCCAAACCACTTTCTGAATGGAGTGTCAAGAAACTGTGAGCGTCTTCTGGCATAGAAATGGAATTTGTGGAGTGTTATTTTGAAAGGAAGGTTTGAGGTTCAGCCTATTGTGTAATAGGATTTCTCTGAAAAGGAAGCAATACTTAATTACACAAAAAAGATAAAGAAAAGGAGAGATTAATGTGCAGCACTTATGTCTCTTTACACAGAGGGGTTTGGATTTTTTGGTCTTGCATTTCTGTGTTTTCTGTAGCAAATCGTTATAAATTTCTGACATGCGGAAGTTCAGATGCATTTTTGCTGTTTATTTCCTGTGTATCAGTGCACTGTACTGCATTTTGAAATATGTGGCTTCTGAGTGATGGGAGGGAAGGAAAGAGACAGTTCATTGTGCAGATGAAACTAGATGTTGTTCTGGGAAAAGCTTTGGGTCCTAAAAGAGGAGATGGAGCAGGGGTAGAGATGAAGTGGGGAGCTGGAAGGCCCCACCTGGAAAACCAGATTGCTTCTAAATTTCCAGGGGAAGAGAGCTGCTGCTTTTATGGATGTGGGGGCATTTTTTCCTTCAGCAGCAGGTTTGTAATTTGTTTGGTACAGTGCTTCTTGACACAAGAACCTTCCTCGACTCTGCAGTGCTCACTTGTTGCTAAAGGTAGCAGTGAATCTGTATGTGTAATGTCAAAGTTGAGAATTTACTGGCAGAGATTGAGAGAACCAGGAAGAGGTAGCAACCTTTGCTCTATAATTACAGCATCACTGTAGTCTAGAGCAGGCTCTGCCTTGTATTTTTAAGCTGTAAGCAATCCACCCAAAACATAAATTAACTTGTTTAGTTTTAAAAACTAAGGAATCAGAGAATCACCAAGGTTGGAAAAAACCTTCAAGATCATCCTGTCCAACAGTCCACCTACAACCAGTATTTCCCCAGTAAGGAATGTCCCTTAGTACAACATCTAAACATTTCTGTAACACCTCCAGAAATGGTGACTCAACCACCTCCCTGGGCAGCCCATTCCAATGCCTAACCACTCTTCAGGAGAATAAATTTTTCCTGATATCCAGCCTGAACTTCCCTTGGCACAACTTGAGGCTGTTCACTCTCATGCTATCACTAGTTACACAGGAGAAGACGCCAACCGCCACCTCACCACAACCTCCCTTCATGCAGTTGTAGAGAGTGATAAGATCTTCTCTTATCTCCCCTTCTCTTCTGCAGACTGAACAATCACAATTCCTTATAAGATCCCTCACCAGCCTCCTTGCCCTTCTCTGGATATGCTCCAGGGCTTTGACGTCAATATTGTAGTGAGGGACCTAAAACTGGACGTAATACTCAAGATGTGGCCTCACCAGAGCAGAGTACAGGAGAAAGATTACCTCCTGCTCCTGCTGGCAGCACTGTTCCTGCTACAAGCCAGGATGCCCTTGGGCTTCTTGGCCACTTGGGCTTGCTGGTGGCTCATGACAGCGTAGCCAAGAGTTGATCAACAGTCTCAGGTCCATTTCTTCCATAATTTATAAAGATACATGATCTAGAGCTTAGGCTTGTTTTAGAGGCTTGTTGACTCCCAAAGCATGTGACAAACAGTGTAGGGATTTGGAAATAGAAAGAACCATGCGTCTTTACTATTGCTTATTTTGTTCGTGCTTTAGTATGTTTGCTTTAAAATTAATTGTGATGCTAACTGTGCAGGCTTTTGTGGGATGATCTGTACAGCTGGTTCCGATTTGGTAGCATTGCTGGTAGTTCATTAAAGGTAAGTTCTTCACTGTAATCACACGAGGTATTTGTGCCTCTCTCCATGCAGAAAGAAGGCTATTATGTGCAGTCACAGAAACTGTGTACTTCAGGGAAATCCCTCAAACGTTACTCTCCTCTACTACTTCCTTACTATGGAAGCTGTTACTGTGCCTACATGCAGCATGCACCCAACCTGTTTCTAGGTACTGCATAGCCAAAATTCCATGGCCAAGACTCCAAGCGCCTCTATCCAGACAGTTGCTAATCACAATCATTAGGAGTGCATTGATCTGTGTCTGCAATCAATAATGTTTATGCACAAGACCACAGGAGCTTGCAATGGTCTATAGTTGCTAATAGGCAGTAGCTTCTTATGTGCAGGCACGAAAATATTGAGGAAGGTGTTTTGTTAAAGCAGTTACTGCTGAACAGCTAATGAATCGTTATGGAAGGATAGCAGATTCCTCCTGCTCCCTTGCTTGCACAACGTGCTGCAGGGAGGCGAAGATCCTGATGTTGGGGCTGAATTTCAGCTTGTTGGCACTCAAGGGAGAAGCTGAATTTCTGAGCTGTGAGGATGTTGGAAGCAGTGTGATGCAATGATCATGGTGTGCTGTGGTTTGGTGCATGAATGTGGGTGAGAGAGGTGATCTTGTGCAGCCTGTTCTCCAGTGGCTTGTGCAACTGCTGCCTGTGTTGGTGAAGAAATATTCTGTTGGACTGTAGCAGTGCAAAAAACAATATCTGTTTTTCCATGTTCTTTCACTGTGTTACATGATCACTTCTGAAAACTGTGTTTGCCACTGCTCTGCTTAATAGGTACATGGATTAAAACGTCAACTGCTTTTGTCATTCCTGTTCATTTTTGGAAAAAAAAATCCTGCCTTTTAAAAAAGTATGCACAAAGAAGCTAACACCCATATGCCTTTCTGTTTCATGGAAAGAAGAAATGTAATCAACAAAATCAGAAACTGCTGGAGCCATTATTGTTGCACAAAATTAAATTAGTTGTTAATTCTTTCACGGATGTAATTCTGGCCCTTGCAAATCCCTCCTTAGATATTTTGTATAAAGTGAGTAAAAATTCATGGCATGAATAAAAGCTTTGTCTATTTTATGAGCAACAGGCAAATGTTCCAAATGGTACTCATAAAGCAAATGGTTCCCAGCTCTAAAAGGAGGAGGAATATATTTAAAAGCCACCAGAATGAGTCGTGAGTAAAACCAACTCCTATTTACAAGACGGTATTATTTACATGAAAGTTTTTTGATTTTTATTTCTTGGGCGGGGGGGGGGGGGGGGTCCTTCCCGAAGGGAAGGACTCACTACTTTTGTCTACTTAATAATAACAGTAAAAAATCATTACATTTTCTTGGGCTATTTACTGCATTTTCTATGTTCAGAGTTGCTGTGGGATACATTTTATCAACAGAGTGAGTGAAAAAAAAATAGCTGAGAGCACAGCTTCGGTGTTCGGGGCCAAACAGTCAGTGAAGCAGAAAGCACCACATCTGTCCCCTAATACCAAGAGGTGAGAAGCTGATCCATATTAGTGGTTGGACAATTTCACGCAGAGTCTGACAGAAACAAACACAGTGCTTTCTGCGTGGAAGGAGGGAAGGCTGCGTGTTTCATGCTCTGTCATGGTTGTTTTTCTTTATTTGCTCAAGGATTCACCTCAGATGCAGCTGCTCAGTTGAAAAAATTTGGAACTGAACTGCTCAATTGTTCTTCGAAATGAAGAACTATGGTGCTTTGTCAGATTGACTTCTTTAGGGTAGGGGTTTTTTGTTTGCTTATGTTTTGGGTTTGGTTTCTTCTTCTTTTTTTTTTTTTTTAATAAATTCTTAGAGCAATGTGTCATTGCCGAAATGGCAGTTCTTTTTCAAGGCCATGCCCTTTGACTTGTGTTTTTCTGCATCATTTTCTGTGAACTCAGTGAATGGAAACTGATGTCCCTACCTGAAAAGTGCGAAACTCATTGTAATAAATGTAGGACAAACCCTTTGCACATAAAGAGTGTGTGCTAGTAGTTGACCAAATAGACTTGTCATTGGTTTACAAGCTTTATTTAAATGCTAAGTACCATGTATTCCTCTGGTTATATTTTTGCCACTTTGTCTGATTAAACATTTAGCTGATAAACACTGCCAAGGCTGTTTACAGCTACTGCAGTTGAGAATACCTGCTTATAGCCTCTATGATTATGGCAGTTATACAAAGGGCAATTTAACATCAAACCAATCTGTGAGGTTTAAGTTTTTGAACTTAGCAAGTACTATTTTAAAATCTGAATTTTGTATGGCAAAGCTAAAGAATATAGTGATTGGGATTATTCAAATTCAGAAGCAGTTTTATGCTGACAAATTACTAATTGGATAAAACTAGAAAGAGAGAATACGGATTTACCAAAATAAAGAAAAAGAGCAATGATTAAGATTACCTGGCTTAAAACTGTTTAGTAGCAGAGTATTTTGATTTAAACTTTGTTGTTGTTGTTGTTGTTGTTAGATTCTTTCATGACACTCTGTTCTGCATCTAGATAATGTCTGCAAGTGATTCCAGAAGGTGTTTCACACAGTGCAGTATGAGAAGACAGTGTTACTAATGCTGGAGCTTTTCTTTACTAATTCTAACAGCTCCAGTTGCTCTTAGTAAAAAGCCAGGGTGAAGTTGCATTAATTTTCTTGGCCTAAATGTAGTGTAATTACCTTAATGAACACTTTTGTCCTCATTCCTCATGCTCTTCCTTTTCCACAGTGCTGCATGAAAATGCAATCCATGAAGGTTTATAGTTCCCCCAGGAGTTCTCAAGGAAGGATGAATATCTAGGGATTAGAGATCTGTCAGTCTCAGGTAGCACACATCCACATGTGCCTCGTAAATAAGCACGATCCAGCACCAACATGGCTTTATTACCACCTGGTGTCTTACCGCAGCAGTGAGTGTGACCAGCAGGAGCAA